GTCTTTTAATCCGCTTTCTCCCGCTCTTCTGGCCTGCTTCTTTGGGCGTCCCTGAGTTTCCCCTTCTCACCTAATCCCTTCGGCTGATTGCTCTTCTCTTTGGCTCCCTGGGTTTTACCCCTTTCTCCTGCTCTTCCGGCCTGCTACTCTGTGCTATGCCCGTGCTTACCTTACTCCCGGAGACCCTTCTTTAGATGATCATTAAAAGGAAACAAACCAAAAAACATGGAAGCTTTAGCTTAGTTATCTTCTACTTAATATTTGAACCTCATTTTTCACTAGTAAGGATCCCTGGGTGACAAAAGTAGTCTGCACTCTACTAACTAAAGGTTGGTGATTTGAACCCAGCCAGCAGTGCCTGGAGATCTGCTTCCATAAAGATAACAGCTTAGAAAACCCTGCGGAGCAGTTCTATCCTATAACACATGGGTTGCCATGAGTCAGGATCGACTCAATGCAATAGGTTTACTTTTTGGTTTCTTCACTAGTAATAGAAGCCCTGGTGGCTCAGCGGTCAAAGTGCTTGGCTGCTAAGCTGCTCTGCGGGAGAAAGATGTGGCAGTCTGCTTCTGTAAAGATTTACAGGCTTGGAAACCTTGTGGGACAGTTCTACTCTATCCTATAGGGCTGCTATGAGTTGTAATCAACTCAACGGAAACAGGTTTGGTTTTGGTTTTGGTTTTCACTAGCAATATAAATAAAAAAATGTGCCTTTCCATCTGTATACGCTCTCTTAATTAACAACGCTAACATATCCCTAATCACTCACCCAAGCCAGAAATCCATAGTCACCCTAGATTACTTCTCCAAATTAAACCAAACTCACTGCTGTCAAGTCGAATCCGATTCACAACAACTCCTCCTTGGGTTTCCAAGGTGGTATCTCTATGAAGTGGATTGCCCAGTCTTCCTTCCGATCGCCACATTAAAGTTAGTAGTAAATGTATGGTGCCTTCTTAGTAACTCTTATCCAGCCCTTCTGTTCAATCCCATTGCCTGTCTCAATTTCAATATCCTATCTTGCTTATGATATGCTAACCAGAAGGCTGGCAATTCAAACCCAGCAGCCACTCTTTGGAAGAATATGCTAACCAGAAGGCTAGCAATTCAAACCCAGCAGCCACTCCTTGGAAAGAAGGTTGGGCAATCTACTCCTATATTGATACCTTCTTGGAAACCCAAGGAGGGGTCGCTATGAGTCCAGTCCAACTCGACGGCACATAACAACAGCAACATATTGCTTATAATAGTTCCCAAATCTTTATTCATCTAAGAACAACTTACACAATTTTTGCCTTACCTGTGCAAGTCACACTTACTTCTTTAATTTATCTATCAGTCTTATTAATAAAAAACCAGGATCACACTCCAAACATTGAATGGAAAGTAAAACTTCAATAAAATATTGAAATAAAACTTTCAATAAAATGAAAACAAAATGTCATTAAACTCTAGCATTAGTTAGAAACCTGGGGGAGGAGAGGAATACAATGGCTCTACTGCTTCTCTCCCTAAATCTTCCACTAATATAGGGAGATAAAAGACAGGGAAGAGAGTTCTGCAGGGGCCAACTTCACCCTCCACCAGGCTATCATTCTGGCTAGGAAAAGGCAATGACTACTAGATCTAAGTGCTTTCAGGACTAGAACCACAAGATCCTCACTCTGGAAGTTGGTAACTTAAGGAAAGAATTAAGCATTTAGCCCGTCTTTTCCACAGGAAACATTTGTAAATATGCCGTAGGGATAATATTTACAAATTATTATAGCCCTATTAGAGAAGAAAAAGCTCACATCTACAAAAGAATGTCAGCTAGGAACAAACACACAAAGAATAATCGAACTAGAGAAATAACCACTTCTAATGAAACAAATGATTCAGGCAAGAATGTTAAAACATATATGTAAAAAGTTGGTGGCAAACTAGATATATTGGCATGATTCCAAAGTATTGTTGTTGTAGTTGTTGTTATGTGCTGTCGAGTGGAACCCGACTCATAGCGACCCCTCCTTGGGTTTCCGAGGAGGTATCACTACAGGAGTAGATTGCCCAACCTTCCTTCCAAGGAGTGGCTGCTCGGTTTGAACTGCCAGCCTTCTGGTTAACAGTCAAGTGTCTTAGGCACTGCACTATCAGAGCTCCTCCAAAATATTATGCCACTAATATTTACTGGGGGGGAGGGGGCACATTATAACATTACAGGCTGTCATTTTTACTCAATAATTTTAGCACCATGAGACATTAAGGACTTCTCTTCATGATGCAATATGAAATACACAGGATCATCTATGAAATATTCTTCCCCAAAATGTTAAGCCTGAATCTAACCAAGACTTTAGATCTAAATTCCAATGGTGGCGCAGTGCCTAAAGCATTTCACTGTTAGCCACGTTGGCAGTTCAAACCCACCAGCCGCTCCACAGAAGGAAGGTGGAGCAATCTACTTCTGTAAAGATTTACTGCCTTAGAAATCCAACGGGGGTCACTATGAGTTGGAATTGACTCGATGGCAGTGAGTTTGTTTTTTGTTTATTTTACCAGAGTTATAGAATGCAAAAGCCACAAGGAAACATTTCAGCATACACAGAAAGTGAGAATGCTTAGGACAATTAACTGGCAGATTAGTCGGTGTCAAGAAAGACAAAGGGGCAGAGGAGTACATTATGCTCTAAATTTAAAAAAAAAAAAACTCACTGCGGGCAGTCCATTCCACTCACAGCAACCCCTTCCTTCTTGGGCTTCTGAGGGATATCTCTATAGAAGTAGAAGGCCCAATCGCTCTTCTGAGGAGTGGCTGGTGGGTTTGAACCACCAGCCTTCTGGTCAGCAGTCAAATGCCTTAGGCACTACGCTACCAGAGCTCCCTCTAAATTCAGAGAATTAAAATTTCTAATAACCAAAATAGATACAAGGCTTTTGATTGGATATAAGTTTGGGGAAAAAAGGAAAAAGACAACTTTCAAAAACATGAGGGCCAACTGAGGAAATACAAACATGGAATGTGTATTGTTGTTGTTATGTGCTGTCGAGTCGACCCGACTCATAGCGACCCCCTCCTTGGGTTTCCGAAGCAGTGTCACCATGGAAGTAGATTGTCCCATTTTCCTTCCGAGGAATGGCTGGTGGGTTTGAATCGCCAGCCTTCTGGTTAGCAGTCAAGTGCCCTAGGCACTATGCTACCAGAGCACCCTGGAATGTGTATTAGATTACAAAAATTAATTTTGTCATGTATGAAGACATAGTGTGATTATGTAGAAAAATATCCTATTTCAGAGAGGCTTATTAAAATATTTAGAGGTGAAATATCCTGATGGGTTTACATACTTTAAAATATTACAGGAAGGAAATATAGAAAAATATGTTAAATCTGGGTAATGGATATACAGATGTTCAATATACCAGTTTCTATTTTCTGTGTGAGAATTTTATTTTGATTCAAATAGGAAGAAAAATGAAAGAAAATAAACAGGCAAAGAAAATTTAAGTAACTTGCCCAAGATCACACAGCTAGTAGGTGGTGCAGTTAGATCTTTTAATTCTGACAGTCTGACTCCGTAGCCCATAATCTTAACCACAGTATTATTCTGGATTTGGGACACTGTAGGTGTTCAATAAACGCTTGTTAAATAAGTAGTGTGGAAGTGCTTATTGTTCCCTTTTCATCTAAACTCGAAAAGAGGCGCGAATCCCAATTATTCTCTTAAGAGCCACGTCAAGTCAGACAGAATTGTTATTGCCCAAGCGTCCCGCACTTACGCTCCGGTTTTACGATAGCACGAGAACTGCAAAACCTTTTCTTCATTTCTTTTAGAAGCAAGTTAGGGAGTAATAAGGTGTTAAAAACTTCCAGGGGGACTAGGGGCTGAAGGGAAGGATGGCTCTATTGAATAACTGACTCGCCTTATGCAGACCCCTGAAACACCGAGCTGTATGACTAGATATCTGGGACACATACCCTTAAACCCTCAGCGTCAGGGACTTGAACCCAGATTTCCAGCGGGGCCCCTTCTTGTGCGAGGCCCTTCTAGTGCTAGGACAGGGTGTGGGCACTGGGAGACGGTAACATCCAGCCCCCTTACCTCATCCCGGCACTGCTTCTGGCACATCTGGCAATACCAGCGAAGCTTCTGAAGCCCCTTGGATTTGATCCTGTTGGCAATGGCCTTGGGTGTAAGAAAATCTGACTTTCCCATCGTGATAACCCTAGCGATAACTTACGAAGCCCAGCACCCAGACAACCGGAAGCGGAAGGGGATGGCGATTGTGGGCGGGACAAATGCTGAAGGTAGCTGAGTGACGGAAGGAGGTGGGTACTTAAAAAGCTGACTCCCAATCCTCGCGAGTTTTTCCTCCGTCTGGCGGGAGGAAGCGAGACTGAAGAGAAAAGCGAAGTGGGGGGGTACGCCTGGGGTAGCTTCCGCGCAAGCGTGCTGAGTTCTGTCTGACCGACCTTCAGCAAGGCCGGTAGCACCATGTTCTCTCGGGCAAACCTAATTGGGGTCTCGGCCTGGGTTCTGCAGCCGCAATGGTATGGCAGCTTGTGGTAGGAACGGGAAAATTGGGAGGGATGGAAGAGTTCGGTCAGGTGGAAGGAGAAGGGAGTGGAGGCGTGGGGACGGACCAGAGGTCTCAGGGCTGAACTAGGCCTCCTTGTCCCAGCGGAGGCCCGGGGAAGCTTGGGTGCAGGAAGCGCCTTAGAATGGGAAAGGGCGCACGGAGATGCAGGAGTCGGCGAGTCAGTGCAAGGTCACGCCACGTCTCCTGAGGCATGATGGGGCGGTATGAGGGACAAAAGGAGTGCTAAATCTTGGACCTCGGGATTGAGACTTTAGTCTAAAGTAATTTAAGGACATTCTTGAATTCATTCATCCGTAAGTGCTTATTGAGTGTCTAGTACATACCAGGCATTGCGGAGTCCCTTGAGCCCACAAAGTGGGGGGTGGGAGGAAATACCTAAGAAAAAGCCTAAGGGAAGATTGTTGGCTTTGTCCTTGACGCCTTTTGAAACCCTCAGTGCTGGGCAAAGTTTGAAGTGAAGTGCGCCAATGCAGAGCAGTGAACCTCTCAGTCAGATTCAGCCATAACGTAAACACCCGCTATTTAGCAGACCCTCTGATGATGGGCCCTGGAGAAACGTAGGTGAATTTTTTTAAATGCTTTCATGGGCTGATGATAGTTTTTATGCAGAAGGGATGTTAAAGATCTGTCAGTTGCCTGGAGAAGGGAAAGACCTTGTACTGTAATGAAACCACAATGCTGAAGTAGTAACCCTGCAAGGTCATGAAATTGTCCAGAGTCTTGAGGGAGGAGGAGATAGATGCAGTCTGTTAACGGCCATGCAGGTAATGGGGGCTACTAGTTTTAAGGGTTTAAATTATTGGTTCCCGAAAAGATTGCGAACTAGAAGCTTTAGGACTACGTAGATATAAGTTTGTGGGGTTTACGATAGAATGAACCAAACTCACTGCCGTCCAGTCGGATCCGACTCATAGTGAACCCCTCCTTGGGTTTCTGAGGCAGTATCTCTACGGAAGTAGATTGCCCAGTCTTCCTTCTGAGGAGTGGCTGATGGGTTTGAACCAGCAGCCTTCTGGTTAGCAAAAATGCCGTAAGCACTACGCCACCAGAACTCCTACTATATAATAGCATGAAATGTTATAATCTGATGAAATGTTTTTGTCAGTCTGGAAGAATTTCTGACAGTGCTGTTGTTGTTATGTGCCCTCGAGTCAAACCCGACTCATAGTGACCCCTCCTTGGGTTTGCGAGGCAGTATCACTACGGAAGTAGGATTGCCCAACCTTCCTTCCGAAGAGTGGCTGGTGGGTTTGAACCGCCAGCCGTCTGGTTAGCCGGCAAGTGTCTTAGCCACTATGCTACCAGAGCTCTGACAGTGCTAAGGGGACTATTACCTATAGGTTGTGCCATAGCAATTCCGTACAGTATGGGAGGGAGATTTCTAAGGAACTATTCCGGTGGCGTATTGCCTGAGACATTTGACTGCTAACCAGAAGGCTGGCGGTTCAAACCCACCAGCCACTCCTCAGAAGGAAGGTTGGTCAATCTACTTTCTAGTGATACTGTCTCGGAAACCCAAGGAGGGGTCGCTATGAGTCGGGCCTGACTCAATGGCACATAACAAAACAACAACTGCCGAAACAAGATGGTATCTCATAGTTGATGGGGTTTGCATCTCTTTAATAGCTAATGATCATGAGCATTTCTTCATATGTTTGTTGGCCGCCTGAATATCCTCCTTGGTGAAGTGTGTATTAATGTCTTCTGCCTGTTTTTTAATTGGATTATTTGTCTTTATGTTATTGAGGTGTTAGAGTTTACTATAAATTCTAGAGATCAGTCAGATATGTTATTGCCAGATATTTTTTCCCAGTCTGTAGATTCTCTTTTGACTCTTTTGGAGAATTCTTTGGAAGCACATAAAACTTTAATTTTGAGAAGGTCCCATTCATCTAGTTTCTCTTCTGCTGTTTGCGCATTTTGGGTTATGCTTGATAGTCTACTTATGCCGTATATTGTTGTTGTTGTTGTTGTTGTTGTTATGTGCCGTCGAGTCGGCCCCAACTCATAGCGACCCCTCCTTGGGTTTCCGAGGCAGTATCACTACGGAAGTAGGATTGCCCAACCTTCCTTCCGAGGAGTGGCTGGTGGGTTTGAACCGTCAGCCTTCTGGTTAGCAGTCAAGGGCTTTAGCCACTATGCTACCAGAGCAAAAATTTGCCCCTAGTTTTTCGTTCAGGAACTTTATAGTTTTAAGTTTCACATTGAGGTCTTTGATCCATCTGGAGTTAGTTTTTGTGTATGGTGTGAGGTGCAGATCTTGTTTCATTTTTCTGCAAATGGATATCCAGTTTTGCCAGCACTTTTTATTAAGCAAACATTCTCTTCCCCATTTAATGGATTTCGACCCTTTGTCAAAGATCAGCTCACCGTAGGTTGATGGATCTATTTCTTGTTTCTCACTTCTGTTCCATTGGCCTATGTGTCTGACATTGTACTAATACCAGGCAGTTTTCACTACTGTAGCTGTATAGTAGGTTTTGAGATCCAGCAGTGTGAGACCTCTTACTTTGTTCTTTAATAATGCTTTGCTTATCTGAGGTCTCTTTGCTTTCCATATAAAGTTAGTGATTTGTTTTTCCATATCTCTAAAAAATGTTGATGGGATCTGGATTGGGATTGCATTGAAGGTATAGATTGCTTCGGCTAGAACTGACATTTTCACAATGTTCAATCTTCCTATCCACAAGCATGGTATGTTCT